GGTTAATAAAATAAGCCAGGTCCACGGACGGTCCAAAACAGGGGCCTTAGACCCAGGGTCCATGTTTTGTCCTTCCTCCAGCACCCCTTGGGATAAGGCAGTGATACGCTACTCTAACGTAAAAGACACTGTTTTTTACGTAACCTTGGCAGAATTTGGGCATGGTACCCGGTGTTTTCGTGACCGTCAGACGAGGCAAAAACATTAAAATTAATTATGTTCACAACTACATAAGGGGTACTTAAGAAGTGAACACAACGCCTTTAAATGCTACTGTTCATGTTCGGGCACTTAGAGACTTTCTAAGTTCGCTTCTCATTTCCGGTTCCGGTCGTTGGCCCCAGTGAGATCTCTCGCTCGCTTTTGCCACAGAAAACATAAAAATGTAAATAAACAATCTACCGCTCGCGCTTCGCGCTCGTGATTTGAGCTCGACTTGTAGGCAAGTCTAGAGCACCTAGTGTGAACGTCCCCGAAAAATCCGAAGCCTAGCCTAGCGCGCGATATAGGTGAATGTGTACGCAATATCATCCGACCTTTGGTCAGCGTAAAAATATCTGACGCAAGCGCACAACAAGGTGCATTTGGCGCGCGGAAGAAACAACATGGCGGCAAGTGTGAGCTGCTGAAGTTCTCTTGTAGAAAATGAAAAGAAAGCTGTCCTCTTCACAGAAGGGGAAGGGGTAAGACTTAAACGGTGCCTTTTCGTAAAACTTAAGCATCTCGATTATGATAAGGAGAAGTCGTAATCTTACTTAGAAAAACAACAGATCAAACAGGATCGGATAGACAGTCAGCTTAATAACTTAAGTATTATTATTTGTTTTCACTTCGTTCAACCGAAGTTTACCAGGTTCCGGTCTCCGCTAAGCGTAAGTTTTAAGTTTTATAATTGTAAGTTGTATTTTTGTGGTAGGGTCTAGCATAAGTTTACGGAAACAGTAAGGGCACAGAATGTAGATCGTGATGCTTTCAGACATGGTTTTATTGTATCTATTTCGATAATTCACATACGTAGAATTCTTATCAGTGAAGTTTTGCCAAGCTGAAATTCTGTAGTGTTCTAATTAAAGAGCTGTACTGCACGCAAGTGGATAAAGCTGGATAGAGCAAATTAAGCTAAGCATACTTCAGTGAGTCATTATATGTTTATCTTATTAGCAGTCAAGCAATAACCAAATTTTTCAAGGCATTAACTCCTCAAGGTAAGTGAGTTAAGTAACTGAATTATGATTACCATTATTATTGCTATTATTATTATTATTATTATTATTATTGTTATTGTTTTTGTTGTTGCCAAAATTGGGTTGGAGTGGGGGGGGGGGATATTTTCCTGAATACTTCCAAGAGCAAGACCCAAGATTAGTCAAACAAAAAGCAGAGCTTAAACTTAGATAACGTTAAAAATTCACTGCAATGGTTTATTTACTTTTTAAAGGGGTTTTTGCATTGGGTTTTAGGTATGAAATTGATTTCTTAAGGTTTAAAGGCCTAAACTTTAAAAGCATTTTACCTTTTCTGATTTTAGAAACACCATATCTACTGATCAACGTTTCTCGAAAGTAAAGTAAACGAAACATTTTGCTTCACTTTTAACAGGACTCAAAGTTAACGACTTACTAGTCCCATACGCAACTAGAGTTTTGGTTGTGCGCCTAAAAATTCATGTGTACTTGCACCTGTGCACCATAAAATCCAAAGCACAGTGCAAATGACTTGCTTCCCTCGCTACTTTCTAACCTGACCATACTTACGTACTGGAACTAGTAGGACTTTAAACAGTAGCTTCAAGCAATGAAAGTAAAAGTAATGCTGCAAGCAGTCTCTTATTTTTCTTTGCAAAGTTACTGCACGTGAAACCTAGGCACACGATAGGCAAAGCCGCAAGCCACGAGAAATGAGGGCGTAAGCCCGAGAAGAAACAACTGAAAAAATTACACTTTCTTTAAATCCGGTAAGATTGCCATGAATTCGTTTCCCTTGAGGAAATTCACAGCAGTTTCCTTCTGAAAGATATCCTTAAAAAATTTATTATTGAAATTACTGCTTGGTTCGCAGTATTGTTTGCAGTTGGTTGCGACGTGTGACAATTTTTATTGCTTGCAATCTCACCACAGACCAGTCAATTATCTGTCAACAGCTGTGCAATTGACCAATCGGTTACTCTGTTTCTGGGCTGATGGAGGGTTTGTTTATTACAAAAGAGTCAGCAGTCCGTCTTTTCTCGTCTGGTCTTATCCCTTATTGTAATAATAACGTCGTGGTTTGCAATCTCGCTGGATGAGATAAGAACTATACGGATTTTAAGAGAAAAGGCGGACTGCAAGCAGTCTAAAGTAATAGCACAACCAGGCTCTAGACAATGAAGTTACATTGTTTTTTTTTTTTCATCTGTGTATGTTTAATTTGTCCTTTCTCCCAATGCAATGGATTCCACAAACTCTAATATTCATTTCCGTGTCGATGTTGACTCCATCCCAGACTCTTCTGTTTTGTAATAAATGCCACTGACACATGCAAATATGCTACAAATGAAACACGTGCTTTTTGCGCTGTGGATGATCATGTTGAACGTTTAGTTTTAAGGTTAGTCAAAACAAAAACAGTGCGGATTAAGAGCCTTTTTTCCAAGTAAGAAAGTTGTTAAGTCATATCCCAGTTACATGTAAGTCAAGCGTGCAAAGATTGTCGTGTCCGATAGCCCAGGGCTAGTGGATTTTGCTGTCGGGCTAGTGATTTTTGTTCTTAACTTGCCAGACGGGCAAGTGCTGTTTTGGGGGGAAATTCAAATTACAGAAGGATTGTAATCAATCCTGCTAGTCAAAAAGGGTTTTTGGGCTAGTAAGAATGACTTGTTGGCTAGTACATGCGAGCTTCAGCTTGCCCGAATGGCAGGCTGTAAAACTGATTTTCTTTGCACCCTGAAGTCAACGCGCATTTAACAGATTCATTAAAGATTAATTTTCATTCTCGTTCGACATACTCATTGTTGTCAGTTTTCAATTTTTTTTAAGTGTAAGTTTTCTTTAGTCACAACTGTACTGTCAAAAAGAGAAATACATGTAAGTATTAAAAATCACAATGGTCAATCATGGGACTAAAATAAAAGAAACTGAAAATGACATATAAACGTGGCACTGTTAAGCGCTTTTTACTTTTTCTTTTGAACTAGATGCTCCCAACATTATAAGCTGTGCTCCTAAAAATTTCAGTTGTGTGCCTAAAATTTTGGCAGTGTGCCTAAAAATTTATATCTGGTAGCACAGGTGCTACCAAACTCAAATTACACTTTGAGCCCTGTTTTAAGTAGTCTGATTTATGAATTTTTGTTTGGTCTTCACCAACTTTCTCGCAATAACTCAATTTGGAATGCTTGCTTTGCAGGCTAAAGGGCCCTTAGCAATAAATATGTAGCTCAAACCCTGATGGTATCATCATTGGTTGTCTTTACACTAGGCCGTTGAGTAACACTTAAGAGCTGCTAAGTTTTACTTAACCAAGACACATGTGTGAAGGCCTAAATAAAAGTCTTAAGTTATTTTACTTTGCATCTCATTAAAACAGAAAATTGAAACGATTCAAGAAAAGTTTCAAGTGACTTCAAAACCATCCTTAAAACAGACTTTGCGAACCTGTGGTTTCTTGAGCTTTGAGAAAGGCGAAGCATGCCAATCAACCTTAATTATGTTGTGTGGGAAAATAGCCTTAAGTTAACCTGAAGTAACAAAGATAGGTTGTGTTCTAAGCTTCCTTTTACTTGAAGAATTTAAACTATACTTGTCTTGAAATATTTCTTAGTTTATTTAGGCTCTAGTGTAAAGACTACTGTTCTTACTTTAGCTTATTTTATTTCAGGCACAAAACAAAGTCACCCCTCAGTGGATAACCCTGTGAAAATGAAAACTACAAAGGAAGAGGAATTCAGAACATCACTATTTGAGAAATTTCAAACTTCCAAAACAAGTTCTAAAGACAGTACATGTAATGCTTTGTCAAAGGACAATGCAGAAAATGACAAAGGAAAAAGCTGCAACTCAGCCTCACCAATAAATCAAACATGTCATTCTAGTCCAGAAAAAAATGAAGCTGGGTATGGTGGCAATCCAGCTTTGAGTAACCAAAAGAGGGTACAAAACTCTACACCCATTGGGGATGTTGCCATTTGTAAGAATGCTTTGATTAATTGCAATACCCAGTTACCAAGGAGTGATCTTGCGGATGTCAGTGGTATGGACTGTGATGAAACCTTCCTTTCAGCAACTGAAGAAGTTGATATTTCACATTATGATACATGTCATGAAAGTTTAACAGATCTATCATTCACAGCCCAACACAATGCCACAAGCAAAGGAGATTTTTTAGATGCCAGCTTGAGTAGAATCAAAGAATCTAATGTGCATAAGGAATCAACGACTGACAAGTTACAGAAAGGTGAAAGTAGCAATGGTGTTGATAACAAAGAATGCAATGAAACTGTAGCCCAGATAGACAATCTATTAATGTTAAAGGTTGAAGAATCAGATGTTAATACATCACAACAGTCAGAAAATGAAGATCTTGACAAAGACCAGAGAAGTAGTTGTGACAGTGTTATGGAGGATGAGCAAGTTCACGATTGTCATGATTTAAAAAGGGAAGAATCTGATAAGAGTTGTAATCAGGTCAACAAGCCTTGCGGCATTTATGGTGTTCTTCCTGAAGCATCTTATTCTTCAAGTGATTGCAAGGAAGACGAAAATAGTGATTTTTTACAAAAAGAGGAATATGAAAAGGAATGCAACCATATTAGCAAGCCATTTAATAAGATACGCTTGGATAGTGATCTACCCACAAGTGATGGCGATATTTCTGAAGGCTCTGAGTCTGATGATGATCTTTTAACTCCTCCAAGATTTCTATATGAAAAACTACAATTGAAACCAAATGTCAGGACACCAGAAAAGGGTATTGTGCCGGCATTTTCTACTCCATCCCCAGTCATCAAGGATGTAGTAAAAGAAGATAAAACCAAATACAAACTTTCCTTTGAAAAGCTAATAAAGGAGAAGGTAAAACAAAAAGAGAAAGATGCCGAGCTTGCTGAAATGGAAGCAGAGTTGCAGAGAGGACTAGAGAAAGGGGGCATTGCTCAAATGCAAGTACCGAGCTCATTTAGTGATATTGAATCGGAGGAGGAACTCACTGATGGTAAAGACCAGTACATATTCATAATTATGTTTTGTCATTTTATTCATTAAGCCATTTGCCCTAGGATATATTTCTGAAAACACCATTTGAAGCTAGCACAGCTTTTTTCCAGTCACCAAAGATCCAAAACTGCCCAAATAGTGCTCTTGTTTAAATAATGGAGCCTTCTCCTCCTGATCCTAAATTGTGGCCTCTGTGCTTTTGGGACTTTCACAGTTTTAGGTGAAACTTCAACATAGTTTTTTGGTTTAAAAGTGACACTGCCACACCTCCTCTACTAATACCTTTTTCACTTTGTCTGTTTAGGTTGCTTTTCTTCTCCCATTTTTTTGTTTGTTTTTTGTTTTTGTTTTTTTGCTGGACATTATTGCAGGGCTCAAAATAACAGACAGCAGGTTGCCGGTCATGGTGACTGGCCAAATATTTTTTAGCCCGAACAAACCCCGCTTTTGGCCAGTGAAATAATGAAAACATAATTTTTTTTTTTTTTGCCTATGGAATACCAAATTATGCTGGCAATAGATCATTGTACTGCATTGACATTCAGGTTTTTGGCCGCCAGTTGGTGAAAAATTCATTCACACGTTGCTGAGTTCCTTTCCACGATTTTCGCCTGTTTTTATGTCTGTTTATATATACCTTCAGGGCTCAAAGTTAGCGACTAACTGGTCGCATATGCGACTGGATTTTTGGTTGTGCGCCTCAAAATTCATGTGTAATCGCACCTGTGTGCTGTAAAACCCAAAGCACAGTGCGACTGACTTACATCCGACTATACTTACGAACTCGAACTAGAAAGACCATGTATGTTTAATTGGTCTTTTCTCCCAATGGATTCAACAAACTTGAATGTTCTTTTTCATTTCGATGTTTTACTCCATCCCAGACTCTTCTGCTTTGTAATAAACACCGCTGACACATGAAAATATATGCTACGAACGAAACACGTACTTTTTGCGCAATGGACAATCATGTCGAACGTTCAGTTTTAACGCCCATCAAAACAAAAACAGTGCAGATTAAGAGCCTTTTCTTCCATGTAAGAAAGTTTTCTAAGTCGTATTCCAGTTACATGTAAGTCATTGCGCATTTAACAAATTCATTAACCCATTCGCCCCTGAACCGACTGTAACCGCCTGTGCGGATCCAGGTCCTTTCTACCCTTTGTGACGTCATCAGTTTTAACGGTCAAGGACAACTTTCTTCGCTAACTTGTGTAGAGTGAAGAGATCTTTCAAAACCGGTTTGTGGTAAGTTTTAGCTCTTTATAGCACGACAGTGACCAGAAAACCACTCGACTAGCTTCAAAACGTGTTTTTCGGCAAAATCTCCAGGAGCGAATGGGTTAAAGATTAATTTTCATTCTCGTTCGACACACTCGTTGTCAGTTTTGAATTGTTTTTCAAAAAGAGAAATTAGTATTAAAAATCACAAAGTATTACTGCGTTGCAAATCGGCTGTGTTTTATCAATCACAGGACTGAAGTAAAAGTAACAAACTGAAGATGACCAATAAACGTGGCACTGTTAAGCTTTTTACTTTTTCTTTTGAAATAGACGCTCCCAACATTATAAGCTGTGCTCCTTAAATTTTCAGCTGTACGCCTAAAATTTCGGCAGTGCGCGTAAAAATTTACATCTGGTAGCACAAGTGCTCCCAAACTCAAATTTAAACTTCATGCACAATAGAGGAAATCCTCGGTAATAAAGCAAACAGTATAATCAGAATGTATGCAATAAAAATAGTTAGTAATTTTTTTCACCTCATTTTCCACTTCACTGTCAAGATCTGCTTCCTTTTGCTTCTTCTGAACTGCTTCGCCTCTATCCACTTTTTTGTTACTTACTGAGAAAAAACTTTCGATAGACCTCGAAAATGCGTTTGTCAGGTTCGTCCTTTTTCGAGACGCCATGATGGATACCCATCAGCTCCTGTGATATTACAAAAGCCAAGTCGAGGCTCAGTGGTCTCCAGACCACTCACGGTAAATCAGGTAAACTCAAGAAGATTCATCAATTGATTTTCATGTTGTGTATAACGGTACGGAGTCGTTGTTCTATAGATTAAAAATTGTGTTTTATTGGAAAATTATTGTAGTTGAAGTAACAGAGACATTTTTAAGCCCAGGGAATTAAAGGAGGAAAGGGCCATAACGGCCCTTGAACGTTTTTGGTGGGGGTCATCTCTCGCTCTTTTGTGAGGTTCACACAATGGCGCACTCTGGCTGGAACGCTGCAAATTAGGTGTTAAGGTTGTCAATGACCATGGGAACATTCTACAAGGGATGAGTTAAAGGGTAGTTCAGGTGCAATTGGGTTAAAGATTATTTGTATAAAAAATATTGGTATAAAGGGTCCATGCCAAAGGAGCACTATGCTTAAGCAATAGAAAATGTATTGCATGTTTACGTCGCTTGATATAAACACTCGAGGGGTTTGGAGAATTCTTGACAGTTATGCAATCCCGAGACAAAGTCAAGGGTTTGCATAACAGTTGAGAATTCTCCCAACCCCTCGAGTGTTTATATCAGGCTATGCAAATATAGGAAAAAAATTTTCTATTGCTTTTATATATTAACTTTCCCAAGAAAAAATGCAAAACTCTTTGTTATGGGACTAATTAAAGGAGAAATTCTCACCAGTCGTGAAATGTTGTACTCAAAGTCTTGCTTGCGTAATCAGTTCTTGTTTTGCAAAAAAGAGGCTTTCCAAAATACGGATTTTTCTTACTTAAAATGTCAGCTTAAGCAAAAAAAAAAAAAAAATGACACGGCATGTTTTGTAAAGACTTTCCAAGTTTCAGATGACAAGGGACTGGGTAAATTAGTAAAGTAAACTTGTCGAGCTTTCTACTCAAATCATGCTTGCGTGATTAGTGCACGAAAAGCAAAACATCTTGATGTCACATTTAGTTTACATACTCTCATGCAAACATCCCTCTGGTCCAATCAGAGCACACGTACTATCTTAGTTATTATATAAAATAACATAGTGTCTAATCTATTCATACCTCAGCCACCCATTACTGCCTGTGTTGAACCAAATCCCCTGTGCCCCTCTTGACAACATCAATATTTAGCAGTCATAAGGAAGTTAAGCAAAAAGGATGACAACATCAACAGGAATGGCAAAAAGGCAATAAGTTTAGATTAGCAAAACAACACTTTGCACCTTGCGTCATGCTTTTTTGTACATTTCTTTGCCATTGTTGCATGATCACAACAGGGAACTTCCTCATTAATTTCATGTTTTGTAGAGGATGTGATCACAAGACAACAATTTCCTTGTTCATTCATTTTTAAACTTAGTCAGTCCTTTAGAATTAAAATCCAGAACACTTGCCCAATATTTGACAAATTGAATGACATAGAATAAGATGGGATGAATGTTGAAACAGTATGAGGTCACTTTTTTTTAAAAAAAAAGTTTGCTGCTGTCATCATTGTTGTTGCTTAAGCTCTCTATTAACAGTCAGACAACAACTGTAGTCATGTCATTTGTGTGAGAACATTGAGAAATTTTCAATTTTGAATTTATTTAGATGGACGAGACCTCAAGGACTGCACTTTACCAAAAGACATCAAGAAGTTTCTGGTGGATGTTCATGACTTTACTGAGGACCTACCAGGGGAGGACATCTTTCCAATGTTTCATCCTTATGTCACAGTAAGGTCTTTAAAATAAAAAAAAAATTGAAGGGATGATGAGCAGTTTATACCTTAAATACTCTATTAAGCCCCCCCCGTCTCTGTTAAGCCTCCCCCCCCACTTTTCAGGGGAAGAAAGTCAAAAAACCTCCCCCTCCGTTTATTAAGCCCCCCTCCACTCAGTAAACGGTCTTCATAGAATTCAGGTAAGTTGGTCCGGCTTTTCCTTCCAAACAGAAGTTCAGCTGGACTCACTCGGGTGGTGGTGTTAGGAGTTGATCTGTATGCTATCAAGTATTTGCGAATGTCTTCCTTCCACTGTTTGCCCGCGGCTTGTGCACTCCCCAACCTTTTCAAAAGAGATCAGTTCTTCCTTTCCATCTCACCATTTGTTTGGGGCCATAAAGGCATGGTCTTGCTGTGCTCGATACCACATTCTTCCAAATATCTTTCGAACATACTTGAAACAAACTGAGGCCCATTGTCACTGGTTACTGATGGTGGTAAAACATGAATCATGAAGATTCTCTCCAGTCTCTCAATGATCTTATCAGATGTCGTGGAACGCATGCTGAAATAGTTAACCACAGCTTACACGGAGACACCTGACGGGAAAAGGACCTAATAAATCCAGAGCCAAGTCTTGCCGTGGACCTTGTGGTAAGGGGGTTGACCCGATTGGCTCAGGGTGAGCAGGATCTTTCTGTCTCTTTGTCTGTCCCGAGCCACTGTACTTTTGATCACAACCTCTGCTTCATACTGACAATACCGGAATGCCATTCATGAGCCAGCGTAAGGACTCATGGTCTCAACTTGTTAGGTATTACAATTCTGGTGCTATGGAGGATTAGCTTGCCAATCACACACACTTCACTGGCTACGGATATGTACTGCTTGGGCTGGCGATAAAATCTGAGTGTCACATGCACACAGTACAATGTACATGTATGTCCGGGCACTTTATACTGTACATGCAATTTTGTTATCTTAATAGATGTTCTTTTGTTTTTCAGTCACAAGACTTTCCTCGTCTATCAATGCTCCCTCATCCTGAGAATTCCTCTTTTGAAGCAAAGGTGGCGTCTGGCTCAGATGCTGATCTGCAAGAGTTAATCTGTGGAGGATGGATATTGCAACATTATCTAGACTGGCCCTGTCCATCAGAGGTATCTGAGTGGTTGTTTCAGGTCATGTGCCGACACCAAGATCAGCATGTGATTAGTTCAACTTTTCAAGTCATGTGGGTGATGGTTGAAACAGCTGCTGAGGTAAGTTCATGTTTGACCGTGTCGTATTTAAAGGTCAGTTAGGCTACTTAAATAATCTTGAGATTTAACCAAAAGTATGCTGCATGCCGAGGCTGTAGAATTCATGTAGTGTTTATACCAAGGTTGATGGTACCATTTTTGGGAGCAATAGTGGTATGGTGGTTAAGCACTTGTCTCCGACTAACATGACCTGGGTTTGAATCACAGAAGCAATGCAATTTTTTTTCCATGGGTTGAGTTTGCTGTTAGTTCTTGCCCCTCCTCTAAGGGTTTTTTTCCCCAGGTACTCTGCAGGGGCGGATCCAGGATTTTTTTCAGGAGGGGGTGCACTCGTCTCTTGCTCTACTTCAACACCAATAAACCACATTTTTTTTTTGCAGAATACCAGTTGTATTAGAAAACCGCAGGTCATTTCAGGGGGGGGGGGTGCGCACCCCCTGCACCCTCCCCCTAGATCCGCCCCTGCTCTGGTTTTCAACTTTCCATAAAAAACAACAACAACAACAACAATACCAAAGACATTAACATTAACATTAACAACAACAACAATAATCACTATCACACTGTTAATTAGAAATAATTATTTTTGGCAACTACTGATTTGATCATGAATGGCAGATAACAACACTACTGTGTGTGGATGACAAACCATCCCTAAAATAAAATTTCAATTATTTATTTATTAATTTACTTATTGCATGGTTAAATTACTGGCCAATGTGATGGATGGGTCCTGAATGTGCATGTAAGCAAGGTAAGAATAATCAGTGGATGAAAATCTAAAGACCACACTGTGTGAGTTACTGATTAATAAAAAAAGGTTTTAGTTTAAATAGCATGTTGACAATGAGGATTTTAAGTCCTTTAATACTTGATCCAATAACAAGACATTATCTCCACCGATAATTGTTTCCTTACTGTAAGACTCAGTGACAGGGGTTTGTTTACAGGATGTTAAAACTTCAAGGGTTAAACTGTGGGTAAGAACAGATTTGAGTTAAAAAAAAAAATTTTCTGAAAAGGTCCAAGAGTATAAGAGGTTTAATTGATTTCATTAATATCTGCCGTATCATCATCATCAAACTGTTAGCCTGCATCGCAAACGTTATTTAACCTCACAGGTGGAGACCCAGGACAGGGATTTTGGCACTATTTCTCTTAACCAGAGTTTAGTTTCGTCTGTGGCACAGGCTAACTGTGAATCTGCACTTTCAGAACCGAGAAGATATTCCCCAAGACCCAAGAGGCTCATTATGGGTGCCAAGTATCAAGAAAGTTATAAAAGAATTACTTTCATTAGGTGCAAGGGTCCCTAGACTCTTTCCTGGAGACCTTGTTACCCAACTAAACATCAAGGAAATTTTGTCAGATTCATCCTCTGAAGACATGGAAGACATGACTGGCAGTGGCAAACCCCAGACTGAACGCTTTCCTCTTGTGAACATAATGCATCTTGTGCAGTTTCTCACACATTGTCTTCAAAAGTGTCCTCGTTGTTATGTAGTCCAGGAGCTGCAAAACCTTGCAGTGTTGTTGTGTCGTTTAGCATTGGATGTTAGGCTTCAGACAGTGGTGTTTGATATTGAGATGTGCCTGGCAGCTGTGCTGAACTGTTTTGGAGAGATGCAGTGGCCTGATGAGGTTTGACATTAAGCCTTTACACCCTAGTATCAAAATTCAAATTTGAATTTAATTTTGTTGTCCCTGTGGGGCTGGTTGTTTATTACAATGTACCTGTGATGGGGGCAGGCCATTTTGAAAATGCTTAGAAGATTTTTAAACCAATATCCCCCAATTCATGTTATTGTAGATTTTTAGAAATGCCCCACATAAATTTAACATGTTGTGAAAGTGCTCCCCCCGCCCCTCCCATCTGATTGCTGTGGAAACTAGAAATATTCTAACTACAAATCGTACCGAAGTTAGCCACATACTTTATCTACAGTCGTATTTATAAGATCCGTCTTATTTACGGCTGTTACATTCAATTTCAATTTTTTTCCACACTCATTACTGCTTTGCACTACTTTCCTGAAATGTGTTTAAAGGACCTTCCCCCCATATAATGCTTCCTTTTCTGAAAATGACTCCAAAACCAACCAAAATTTTTTAAATGACCCTCCGCAAGATGGTAATAAATGACCAGCCCTTATACGTTTTCAATAGAAGTAGTGGGGAGAATTTGCTGAAGCAACAATTCGATTCATCTACTGTGATCATGTCCTCAATTCTCATGACCACTCTGTTTCATATAGCTTTGGTATTACAGGGAGAAATTTCGTGCTGATCACTGTTGAGGCTTAAAGGGTTAAGCCTCTTCATTGTTTATAATGGTCACAGGACTGAGTAAATTGAAAATTCGATTCAGTTAGCATTCCTTTGAGTGATTAAACAAAATTAGATGAGAGCATAGCTAGAGTCTGATTTGTTTAATTATACATGATTACTGATTGAATTGGACGTTTCAAAAGTTCTGTTGCCAGTGAATCACAACTACTACCTAATTTGAGATATTTTGTGATAATTTCAACTTCGGTTTGATAAAACACAAGATCTCTTTAGAGTTAACACAAAAACAATAGCAAAAACAAAAATCTATATTTAAGTCGAGAAAGTGAATCACAACTACTACCTAATTTGAGATATTTTGTGATAATTTCAACTTCGGTTTGATAAAACACAAGATCTCTTTAGAGTTAACACAAAAACAATAGCAAAAACAAAAATCTATATTTAAGTCGAGAAGAGAAAGTTAGGAAACCCAACTGGCAGAAAGTAAACAAGTGGGCTACAATATTAACTTACAAAATTTAATGTTGCATAAGATTTAAAACTCAGGGCCCCGAAGTGGTCATGGCAGAATAGTTTGTTTGCGTCGGAGAATAGAGGAAACTACTTGCACTCATATATTATCTTAGTACATGTTACAACTTTCAGATTAAAGAATTGTGCAGAGTCCTGGCAAAACTGAGCACAGACCATAGAAACCTGTTGCACCTTGTGCAAATCCAGCCTCCTTCAGTCCGCGGCATCCAACTTAAACGTCTTCTGGGCGTGACTCTGCTACATTGGCTTGTGCCGAAATTTGGTCAACAACAAGAAACTGGGAGACTCGCTGATGATGAAAGATGTGATGTAGCTGTACCAGACACTGTTGAGGTAAAAATAAAGGGTGTAGTAAAACTGATAATGTAGGGACCTAAAAGATGCTGGAGAGCATGGGGAAAGTGATGCCTGATAGACGCTTTATGGGGCAAGCAATAATAATTATTATACTAGAAATGTGTGTATCGAAAATCCTCACGAGAACCTCTAGACTGTCCATGTACTTCTTTTTTACGATAAGAACTTTTTTATAAGGATATTGAGGCTGAAATTTACGAAAATTTAAGAATATTAATTTTTAAGAATAAACCTGAGGCTGAGAATTTAAAAAGGTTTCAAGTTTGTGTTTGAAAATCTGTAAATACAGTAAAATTTATGTTTTTAAGTCAACCGTAGAAAATTATTCGTTTCACTAAACGGCTAGAACACTGGTAATTGAGACCCCTATTTATTCTAAAGCGGAAATGCCATTAGCTATAATTTAGAATTTAGAATAATTTAAGAATATTTCCAACCTAAAATCGACAGGAAAATAAGAATATTCAGCCTGGGTCGGAAAAACAACATTCTTATAATTATAATATTATAATAAGAAAAAGAGTGTAGTAAGCTTACTGTGAAAGATCACTTTTTGAACCCGTTGTTGGTCATGGTGTAATGGCTGATCGTCTATCCTCAGCTCAGTCCGTTGGCAAGATATCGCTCACGTGTATTTAACAGATCGTGTAATTCTTGGTACATATCGTTGCTTAATTTTGACTGTAAACTTCCAGTAAGCATTGCTCCTCCTGATCGCTCTCTTTGCGAACGTTGGCATTGTAATTGCGGTATTTTGTCGCTGCCCTGTACACTAGCTGTCTGTAAGTGTCCTCTGTCTCTTGTTGACGGCTTCTTCTTCGCTGTGCAAAGCGATATTCTCTCTGCCGCGGGGTTTCTGGCTGTCATCGTCTTCTTCTTTGCTTACAGTGAATTTCAGTTTGGCGTTCTTGCTCCAGAAGAGTGTCGGTGGTAAATCTTCCCCGTCACGGATTTGCAACCACTTGTTAAATCCAGAGTTGTTGCGTTTCCTGTTCTGGTCATTTGCATTTAAGGAAATTGCTGGTTATTTTCCGATAGCCGACCGACTTTGCATGCCGCTAAGACCATGCGGGACCCACGCGCTGCTCGCGCGCTTCGTGCGCGACAAGATTACAAACTCGCGTACGCGAGGGTGCTTCGTGCCCTCGCTTTGTGAGAAATTATTGCCGATATGAAGTAAATGTCAATGTTAATGAAAAAGGGGAAACTTCAGCAACAGCATGTACAAAGGCAAGCAATTTTTTTTTAGATTTAAATTCATCTCACCATGGCTGGAAAATTAATGTTCCAGTAAGCATGATGTACAGCCTGTAAGGTACATGTAGCCTGACTGCTACTTGTAACATTGGGTTGACTAAGATGAACATCTGCCATTGGCTGAAAGGTCTCTTGGAACCTTTTGTGCGACTAGCCATAGCACTGTTAGAAAGTAGATGTAGTTGACCAAGGTGAGAGTGCTAGTACAACTACTGCTAGTAAATTATGATTGCACTGCCATTGTAATATTGTACTGATATAGGTTATTATTTGTCTATTTTGATGCAGGTTTCAAGCCTTGTAAAACTTGTAGAACAAATAAAACCGAAGGAGGATTCAGACTATTTTCTGTTGCACACCATCATTTCACTGTTGAGCCTTGCAGTGGGAAGTGAAGACCTACCACCAAAGGAGAGGGTAATGGCCATTTCGGATCATTATACATTTCTGGGAAACTGCCGAGCTACCCCTCCCCTAGGCCAACATTTACACTTACTTTTCACTTAGAGAAAAATGTTGGCCTAGGGGAGGGGCTGGTAGTGCCATCCAGAGGGGGGGGGGGGGTCATTAAGACGAGTGGGATGATTGAGGGAGGGTAAATGTGAGGCGGAACCCCTTCTCCCTCTCCTGTCCTGTTTCTTTTGTCTTCCACAGTCTCTTTATTGTGTATGTCTTTTCATCCTGTCATTTCTAGTATAGGGCGATATATACTCTTTCATTGCTAAGTGATTCGTTCACTCCCTTTTTCTCTCAGTACAACTTGATCGCGAAGGGTAAAACCAGCAACTGCCCATATAAATAAAAGGATTATGCAACAATACATTGAGCGCGCTCGTCACCCTAAGAACTTAAATATTATTTGTAAACTCCTATCATGGGAAATTCTAGCGTTTACTTCAAAGATATAGCTACCTGAGCGAGTGGATGTGGCTACAGCTTTTTTTCTACTTATACACTTAGCCTTCTAAGCGCAGACGTATTTCTGGGTGTCGCTTCTCTCCGCCCGAAATGTTACTAGATTAGCGACAACTGGAACAACCGCTGCGTTCGCATTATAGTAGTTACCCTTTTCAGCTACAAATCCCTTCTATCGGCATTACTTCTTTAAAGCTACTGGAATTAGGCTATTTAAAAAGTTAAACGTAGTTTTTGATTGAGAGAAGATATGAGCTTAAACGGTTAAAAAAATGACATTCTTAAACTACATATATATTTTTTTTCGCTTAGTAAAGTGCTACAATGTAGAAATCTCCATTTTTGAATGCAGACTGACTCAATAATACGCTGCGTGAGTTGACGCGCGTAAATGGGATCTGTTTAGGAAAGGAAGCAAAGTGTTAGTAATCATTGCTAAATGCAACTCGAATAATATCCGAGCATAATCCGTCGTTTTTGTAACATTTGCTCTATACAAGAAAAAAAAAACAAAACTTGCGCCCACCATACAAACGTCTGTAAATTTCGCAACTGTGCGAAGCTATATCTTCACTCTCTTAAGACGTATCACTTTTAAACTTGACAATCTTACTAATTTTAAGACGCTCTTTAAGAAGGTGTTGACGGGTTTACCCTACCTTACCCATGGCAAAAGTTGAAAACCGTGGAAAAGTCTATTAATACAATTCACTGTTATTTTTTCCCATGAAAAGGCACCACTTGAGAAGTTAACAAACAAGCTAAGGTCATTGAATGGAGACATCAAAGATCCGAGGGCGGCATTCATGAACAGAACCAAGGTAAAGTAGCACTAAAGTAAGAGAGAAAGAAAACATGCATCCTGTATTATTACTTATGTTTCTTCGTGGAAAACGTAAACTCTGTTATTTCTTCAGGTGAAAGATCTCTTAGTGAGGACACTTCTTCGACTGGCTTACATGGCGCAGTGTATTAAACCATCGAGAGAGGTATGTAGCCCGAACTTTTAAAATAAGATCCTTATTCCCTTTTTCTAACTTAAAAATAAGTACGTCTTCTTTTAGAAACGTCTTTCCACTCGATCTCACCTCATGTCGACATTCACGTATGTACATAGTAAGTAAAAAAAAATCACAAAAATCAAAAGGGTACTGACCGAAGGCTAATACGGCAGACGAGTGGCGTTTTAATCAGTTTGTTTCCAACGTTAAAATAGATAAAGGTTGTCACTTCTTCCGACAGTTCACGGCATTTTGCACCGACTGGTATTCTTTTAGGGTGGGTTTGATCGCCCAAATCGATCGTCCCTTCGGAATAAAACCTTAGCAACTAAGATTTTCTACGCCTTAGTTGTGTAATGTTCGAGTCTTAGTATCAGTGTTACGTCTATCCCCACCCGGTGCAATTAATACTGAAACCAAAATACAGGGAATTCACGGGACCCTCGCTCAGTGGAGCTACAAGCAAAGAATCTAAGTAATAGCAGCGCTCCCTTATCACTTTGGACTAGCCACCTGTAGTTCAGGGTTCAAATCTGGCCTGTCCAGGACGTATGGTGTATATAGAGAATACTTCATGGAAAGTGCTGGCGTACGGTATTTACGCACGAGTTGTTGACGTATCAGAAATCGAACGAGTGAGCGCAGCGAACGAGTAAGATTTCTGATACAAAAACGAGTGCGTAAATACCGTACAAAGCACGTTCCATGTGGTATTGTGTTTATCATATACATACTGAGACATTCATCATTTTGGCGGCCTTTTTATTTTAAATCTTTCAAAAATGCTAAAATTTGCCGCTACACACTTACCGCAAAATAACAACGAAAACGAAGTATCAGCTTTTTAGTAAAAACGTTTGTTAAAAACATAAATGACGGTAAGGATATGAGGTAATCCAAGAACTCTAAGTAATCTTAACTGTTTGTTCTCAATGCACAATTGAAAATGAGTGAATTTAAGTAAAATGGCCGGTTTCGATATAAGCTGAAGCTTAAATGAAAGGCAAAGTAGCTCCGACAAAAAGCACCACAAAAGCTTACGTCTCGTTCTGTTTTTCCCTTTCCGCTGTTGTTTCGCTTGCTCTCTACCGTTTTCTTTATCGACAGTGAAACAAACGAAACTATTCCACTCTATTTCCGAAATGTTTTTCACTTTTTTAGCTTGAAAAACTCTTTGAGTAAAACTTTTCTCGTTGAATGTGTGCGAAGTAGCGCTGCAAGCTACAATGAAAGGCGGGAATTTTGGCGCGAAACTCTCACACCTCTGTGGCTTCTGATTGGACGTATCATTTTTCTCACACGTGAAAAAACATCGTTCGCGATTCTGATTGGACGTATCATTTTTTCACGTGTGAAAACCATCGTTGGCTCCTCTGATTGGCTAGAACTAATTTGCGTACGAAAATTTACGACATAGCTTTTTGGTGAGTATTTCTCAGTATGTATATAATAAAAATATATATCAGTGACATAGTGCAAGAGGGTGGGAAGGAGTTAGCATGCAAAGTCAAACTCTCGTGTTTTAGCACCAGTGACATTTAGTAGCATCTCAGGAATTGCTTCAGGCCTCAAATACGAGTTAAGCTACTAGCGAGTGGATTCCCTGCGATTCAAGTCGCAGTTTCCCCTATACGCCACTTCGACGTTTCCCACAATGCACCTTATTTGCTCCCCAAAACTTTGCATAAGCATTGTTTTCAATTTCTCTTGGGACGGCTGTGATACCCAGGAGAAATGAGAAACAAAGGTTATGCAAAAATTTTGGGGCGCAAATAAGGTGCGCTATGGGAAATGTGGAAGGGGCGTATAAAAAGACACTATTCACGATGCTCGCCAACTTGGCACGCGCCTTCGGGATGAAGGGATAAAAGCGATGTCACGTGGTATTCCAGGGGGCAAACGACGGTTAAAATTTGTCAAAACGAGTAGACGTGGTCGAGTTTGTTTGTTTCATCAAAACGTGACAACGACAATTGTTAGTTTTTGCAAAAAGGACAGTTCGAGGTTCGACAAGTCATTGTTACTCGCTATGAGATCATGTAAAATAACAGTGACCACTTCCACCACCCCCCTCCCACTAAGCGACAATTCTTTTATCCCATTAGTCCGTATACGCGTGCAATGCAAAGATGGCGGGTATCGTGAATAAGGTGTATTTTTTTATACCCTTCGAACCTCTCCACTGCCTGTGGGGTCAAATGAAATGGGCCTTTATGAGGATGAAGCCGTGGTAGAAACGTTATAGCACGGATGAATTAATGTCTTCGTTACTCTGCAGAGCTAGTCTGCGTCGCAGACACTCTATGCCAATGTTTCCCTTCCCTGTCCCTTGGGATAATTTTTTTACTCCCCCCAACTCTCTCAGTCTCTGCAGCTTTAGCAAAATTCTCGAAAAGAAAAGGCGCCATCGAGTATCGATCGAACGCTGATCTTGACTGTGACTAACTAACTTCTTACAAATTTATTTCTTTTAATCGATTTATCTTCGAAATGATTAATGTACTTTTATAATATTAAATTGTTAGGCTTATAAAAAAAAGTCTATTAAATTCGTCGGGGAAAAAAGGGTGGTAGCAGTTATCGAACCCGGTACCTTCGGATCCGAAGGTTAAGCTTTAACGCCTTTCGCTGGGAGGACAAAAGAAATATCTTTACGGACGGACGGACAGACTGACTCACTTACACAGACATGGACATAGTACAAAAATGAACCTTTTACTGGAACGGAATACTAAAGAATTAATACAGGACATTATCATCTTCAATCTGGACACCTCACACTCACATCTAGCCATTATTACACTGACATGGAAACACTCAAAAGTCGCTCATTTATCAAAAACAGTACTCTGCGTAACCCATTTGTTGCCAGGGTAGTAAAAATTTGTCGTGTGGATTGTTTTTGCCGTCTACTGTAGCACAGCCATTATTGCACAGTAAAATGCTGTCACCCGATAAGGCTTTGTCATGAACAGGAAAAAGCTCGCTATTGACCCGACTTTGGTTCGCGGGCAAATGATCGTTTCCTTCTCTCATTTTATTTGCTTTTTTTCACTATCTTCATCGATCTAATCATTCGTGTTTCATTTGACAGCACCACATAGCCAGTTATTTTGAGTACGAGAGCTCTAACTTGGAAATAGAATTACTTAAAGACGGGGAGGAGAAATTTGGCAACGAAGAGGAGGAGAATGCTGTATGAGAACAGGATATGATGGATTGTGGCCCGGAAAATTAGCGCTAAATATGATTGTTGCATTTTTCTTTTTGCTTTGTTCTTGTTGTTGTTTTTCACGTTGCCAGCGGGGCCTTCTTTGGTTTGTTCAATTCTGGCGTACTCGAGAAAGACTCTGCATAAATCGCATTAGACCTTTGTTGAGCATGCGCTGGATGTTGCTAGGAGATAGTTTCAAACCCAGGCCTAATAGCCATGTGCTTGCTTCAGCGGGCTCGGTTTAAGTCCAGTTCCGGCCCCTGTCTCTCTATGTCACGCAATCCCGACGTTGCGTGACTTAAAGAGATGGGCCAGAACTGACTAGCTCGGTTACGACCATCGGTTTATCAATAAACGGATGCACACACTCGAAAAAAACAATTTGACGAAAGAGAACAAGATTGACTAGTGAAGAAGTTCGGGCTGGGGCGACTTCAAAGGTTATTCAGGCGGAGCATCCTTTTCTTCTTCTCACTCAAGAAGACAAAAGGAGGCTCTGCTCGCAGGGTGGAGGTTTTGGATCAGTTTAGGTTTCTGGGAAACTACTCGCCTACCCCTCCCCTAAGCCAACATTTTGCCCTAAACGAGAAGTAAGTGTTAATGTTGGCTTAGGGGAGGGGTAGGTGGGCAGTTAAAAGCAGCGTTGCGCGTTTCACCACTCATCAATCAAACTTGTCTTGCAATAAAATTAATAAGGTTGTTGCAGAAAGTACAGAGTAGGTCTTTTTTGTTGCATTAAAATCTGTACATGTTGCGCGTTTACCGGCCCAAGGCAAACTTGTTTTTTAGCAAGTGACGTTACAATTGCGTAATTTTATCCAATCAAAAGTCCGTATTCGCGCAAATTGCAGCAACCTGATTTGTTGCAAGACAGAGGTGGTAAAGGGCCCAACGTAGTATTTCAACTTGTTTCGTATCAATTTTGCAAAAGAAGTTGCACGTTACCCGTTTTACCGTAGCTTTGAAGACTTCGTTTTTGACAGTAGCCTCCTCTCGCCGTACTTGTCTCGCAGTTTTGTTGGGCCCTGATTGCATGAAAAGTTTCAACAACGCCTCTTGCTGCGTTTTCGTTTACACGACACGATAACCCAATTTCTTCTTTTGGCAACGGTTGCCAGAACGCCGCATTTTTCTCGTGTTATAGGAAATATTTGATTGGGACTTTGTTTGCAAGTTGGACGAAAACGTGCCGGGGTGTAAGGGGGCCTTTATTTTGATTCAACGGTGGAAACTAAGATGACTCCGAGGCTTTCTGGTCATTTTTCTACATTTCACCCTGAGGTTTGGATTTCTTTATGCTCAAGTCTCTTCTGGGAATTGCGAGACAATGGAGTCGTGAAAATTTGCAATTTTGTCCCTTAAGCCTCGGAGTCATAATAGAATTTTAACATATCCAACGTGGGCAATTAATGCAAGTTTATTATTGTCCTATGCTGCTGATTTTTCCAAAATGCAGCCAAACATCGTGTTTTCTCACAACCTCGTTCCGAGGTTCTCTCTACTACCCGTCTCCTATGCACAGATAGGAGAGAACCCTGGAACGAGGTTGGTTTTCTCTGTCAATTCAAATATAATTTTTACCGTCTTTCAATGATTAAACGACCAAAGACATATAGTATTGTATTTCCTTGTTTTGTTACAAAAAGTATTAGCGGTGATCAATTGTAAAAAGACTAAAGAGGTAAATATCCATTACAATGTTATCATATATTATACTTATAGTAAATATTTTAAATTTCATGTATATGTTTACGTGTATCATTTTAATGCGGCAATTTGGTGTTTCGAAAGAGCAGGAAAGTTTTCGTTTATATAGTTAAAGTTTCCACAAATGCTAATTCATAATAGAGGTGTAGGGTTGAGAGAACAAATCTACTCTGAGAAAAATTAAAAGTAACGTTATTCAACATCATTATCAAGAATCTAAAATTGAATTATTTTTAATCTTTCTGAAGTTAATTAAACACTCCAACATATAAAAATTACGTTTTGCGGGAAATTTACCTATTACGAATGTAGGACTTAGTAAGTTTCACGTTAAGAGTTATTTGCTATGTACAGTTGAACACAATTTTTAAACAAAATAAATAAATAAAAATGAGCTTGGGAATCCTTATTATGGGAACTTTGTTTCTGAAATAGCCATTGTCCATATCGGGTATAGCACGACCTACATTGTATAGTGTATTATAAAAAGCAACCTAAAACTAAACCTTTTTTGTCCTCTCCTTTAAGGCCGTAAAATTCACTATTACAGTGAAAACCTTAATATAAGAGCCTAGTGATTTAAGAACCTACAGGCTGAAATTTGGCATTTACATACCCAAAAATTATAAGAACGTGATCAAACTGGCAAGAAAAATAGATTCTTATACAAAACAAACTCTCGATTTTAATTGTGTGAGAAACTTTTGACAAAAGGTTATGTTTTCTTTGATTTACATTTTTTTGGATTTTCACTAGAAGTATGTTTTCCAAAAAGCTACCTTGCAATATAGACGATTTAAAATCTTAATATCTTATTTTAAAAAATATAGAAATGTGTTGATGTTCTTCTTGGACCTTGATTGTTTGCCATTATGTATTCAGTAGTACAATATTTCTAATCTTTTTGCCAATGGCTACCCTATGACAACCTCTGAAAAATAAGAACCTTTTAAGAACCTAATCAGCCTGAACTGTAAAAAACTACCCTAAAATATAAGAACCTGTTCAGCCTGACCTCGAAAATTCTAGATTCTTATATGTGGGTTTTTACACTACAGGTGGGGAGAAATTATTAAGATATCACTATAGTTCGTCTTCAAAAACAATGAAATTGCACGAACTCAGGAGATATCCGTAGCACACATGCTGTCCAGCTATCCAATGTCCTTCTTGTTAACGTGAATCGTATTTTAAAACTGAAAAACAACGAAATGGATTTTACAATGACGTAAAGGATACAGAGACATTCTTATTTTACTTTCATACAACCACGGCTAACCCTTTACAAAACACGTGAGACTATGGAAACTCAGAATGTTCCCCCTCAGCTGACTTCAAGCGCTGTTATGCTTGTTTAGTATGAGTGTCCCGACGATCGGGGTCTAAATCCCAGTCGATGGTTATCCCAAAAATGGCACTATCTGAATTACGTGTCTAATAATGAGAAAGAGGAAAAGGACCTCTTTATTGACCCCCCCTCCCCCAAACCTAGGCTCGATATCTCCCCAAATACGTTTTTCTTCGCTTGCCTTTGTGACACGCCCCAATCGAGACAAAGTCAGTTTCACAAAAGGTACGCAAAGGGGGTTTTCTAGCTTGCGTGAAGCGGAAGAAGCTAAGTATTCGTTATTAGCACCCGCCACACGGCTATTAAAGTAGTTAGACAGAAGTACCTTATTTGTCTTAAAGTAGTATGATCCTGACATGGTTCGCGATCTGTTTGGAGCGGGCGCCTGAATCACAGCACCAACTTTGCCTGGAATGCAATTGCCTGAATTTCTACCACTCGGACACCAGCTCCTGTAGCGAATATGATAAACATTGAATTATGCATGGGCATTGTACGGTATTTGTCATAGTTAAGACAAGTACCCATATTCTTTGTCTTAAGTGAACGCTCGATCAACCTAAAATGAGTTAACGAAACGTTCCGGAAATTCCGATTGGAAAGTAAATGGAACACGCCTTTTCGGGTCGTCCCAGTGGAAATTTTTCCCGCCACCGCCCGGCCCCCTTTTCCCAGATCTAGGGCTCATAATTTTAAGCGTGCCTTTCACTTAACGCGTTATGCCTACTATATGAGAGCCTGGAACCGGCTAAACAAGTGCAGTCCTCTTATCTCGGTCAGAATGTTCCAAGCATTTAAATTAGAGTACAATGAATTAAACTTTCGTCAATCCTCTCCTGATATAATTACCGTAAAATTCCGAAAATAGGCCCCTCCATTTATAAGCCCCCCAAAC